AACAAAAGAGACACTCATCCATACTGCCAAGGCCCTGAGACCTAGAAGCATGGTGCCCATGAACCAACTGAATCCGTTTTGGCTGCTGCCAACCACACCCCAAGTGTTCTCTTTGAAAAGGATAATGCATCTAATTTAAACATCATTTTGGGTATCTGCTCCATTGCCACCCGTTTTTTTCCTCTATCCTCCAGCATTTCGTCAGCTGAGATGGTGAAATATAACACCAAGTAATTACGTTTAAGAGATGAACTTTGGCACTTATTTAGAGAATGTATGTAAAAGGCATAAATAACTTGTAAATTTTACTGACTAGATTTTTTTTCCTTCTCTGTACAGTTGCTCTTATCTTGTCTGTTAGGTTTTTCTAAAAGCATCTCCCCACCCCCCTTTTTAATTAAAAGGGAATTCATTCCATGGATTGTTGGAATACTGGAATACTCTGTTATGGGACCGAACTCCTAGAAACCAACTGTCTCTTATGGTTTGGCACACAGACAAATGGCCAACCCACAGAACTACCATAGAGTTATTTCTGAGACCCATGGATTTCTTTTCTTGTTCTATTTGAGGTTATGCAGTTGGAGGCTCTCCTCATGTATACTTTTCAAGAAAGTTGCATTGATTCCTTCTTCTCTGGGCCTGTGTCTCCACTACTGGAACCCTTAAGAAGGCTTTTATTTATTTAAAAGATTTTATTCATCTCTTTGACAGAGATCACAAGTAGGCAGAGAGAATGAAGAGGAAGCAGGCCCCTGCCAGGCAGGGAGCCCGATGCGGGGCTCGATCCCAGGACACTGCGACCATGACCTGAGCTGAAGGCAGAGGCTTTAACCCACTGAGCCACCCAGGCACCCCCCTAAGAAGGCTTTTAAAACTGAACATACCCTTTGGGGGTCAATACACAATGGTTGAACTAAGGTAGAGTAACTTGATCTGATGTTGGAGGTTTCGTTAACCAGGGAACTGATGGTCAGAGAAACTCTAGTGGTTTTCTTTTTTATCCTGTTACAGAAACAAAACAAAACACAGTACAGTGAAAGAAAGATTAGAGGTGGCTTTGATAGAAATGCCTCACTGTATTCATTTGGCATGTGTCATATTTTTACTCAAAATCCTTAATTTTTAAAAATTTGTATAATTCAGTTTTTTCCCTTTTTGATCAGTTAATGGATTATGGCTCATAATAGTTTTGCTTTAAATTTCCTTTGTCTTAGTCTGTTTTATCAGTGAGCTGTTACTAAACACTTATAGAGAAGAAATAATTTGTAAAGCAAATAATCACTTTAAAGTTTGGAAAATTTTAGTTGTTTTTTTTTTTTTTTGCTGTATTTTTTTAAAAGTAGAATTTCCCCTATATTCATATGGCAACAAAAGCTCATTAACACACACATTCTGTACTTACTCTGACATTTCTGTAGCATATTCCAAGCACAATCACAGAGAGAAATGTTTTCTTCCCTCTTCCCTTGTAAGAAAGAGAAAAAAGAAATTCTGTCTAGATCTCACTGGCATTTAATAAAATTTAGTTCACCTGTGTTGTATGCACAGTAGGACCAGCAAATTAGTTATGGGCAACAGGTCAATCCAGAAATCTGAATTCTTGACTAAGTTTGGAACTACTTTAATATTCTCAGTTTAAAAAATCCAAATGTTTACCTTTACAGAGGTATAGTGGTTGTACCCAGAAGAGCTATTGAGTCATTTCCCAAAAACAACATTTTATAGGGCAGATACTGCTGTCTTGTGAATTTGTGTTTTGATTGGAAGTCTTCAGAATATTTGTTACAATACGAAATCTCTTGACACATTGCTTTGTTGAAGGATGTTGTCAATGTTCATATTATTTCTATGAGTACTTAGTAGAGAAGTCTATCTCAGTCCTTAGTATCAAGAATAATCAGGGGTTGCCTGGGTGGCTTAGTCAGTTGAGTGTCTGACTCTTGGCTTCTGCTCAGGTCATGATCTCAGAGTTGTAAGATCAAGGTCCACTTTGGGCTCCATGCTCAGTGTGGAATCTGTTTGAGGTTCTCTCCCTCTTCCTTCCCCTATGCCCCTCTGTGCACACACACTCTCTCTTGAATAAATAACTAAATAAAACTTAAGGAAAAAAAAAGAATAATTTGGGCTTCTGTGCTACTACTTTAGTTTTTCCTCTCAGATACTACAAATCCTAGTATTGGTTATATTTCCTCTATGTTAGGTATTTGAAAGTCTACTGCTCATTATATAGCCAGGAATTTGACAGAGTTTGGCGTTAGGATCTCCTAAATTTGTGACTGTTATTTTTTCCCCCACTCTGTCTATGATTATTTATTTACCCATAACACATTTAGATCACATGATCCTGTGAAGAACTTTTATGTTACTTCCAGGTGGAAGAGATAGATTGGAAGATATAGACTAGCCTCAATAACAAAATACTACAATTTTCAGAAAGCCATTGGCTTATGGAAATAGAGTATTTGAAATTGTAACTATTCCAGAAAACCCAGTCCCTATGGTCACATTATACCACAATGCTTTAATGAAAAACATTTCCTACTTAAAAAAATCTTTTACATACAGTTTGATACCATCCCTTTGGATTAGATTTATCTAATCTTTTAGTATATAATCTCATAATTCTTAGTGGCTTTTTCAGTCTTTAAAAACTTCCTTATCTTGAAGTTTTATAACCATTTTGGTTTAGGCTAAAATGTAAAGTTGTTAATACTATTTCATGCTTCTTTTCTTAAGGCAGACAGTGGCTGAAGAATGTACATTTTGTTTATTTAAAGTGTCCAAATACTCAGATCGTGATCTCATGGGTTATGAGATTGAGCCCCATGTCTGGCTCCACACTCAGCAGGGTGTCTGCTTGAAGTTTCTCTCCCTGTGCCCCTCCCCCTGCATGTGTTTGCGTGTGCACACACACATACTTCCTGTCAAATAAATAAATCTTTGAAAAAAGAAAGTGCCCAAATACATTACATTTACTCATGTCTATATATATAGTATTTTATAATTTATAAGATTAAAAATATCTGTGAGCTAGAACTGCCCCAACCCTTTTTTTAAAGGGTAGTTGCTTTTTTTTTCTTTTTTTTTAAAGATTTTATTTATTTTTTTAACAGAGAGAGAGATCACAAGTAGGCAGAGAGGCAGGCAGAGAGAGAGGGGGAAGCAGACTCCCCGCTGAGCAGAGAGCCCGATTTGGGGCTTAATCCCAGGACCCTGGGATCATGACCTGAGCCAAAGGCAGAGGCTTTAACCCACTGAGCCACCTAGGCACCCCACTATTTATTTCTAAGGTTATTTTGAGGATTATGTGAGAGAGCCTGCAGAAGCACTTAATGTAGACACAAGCCATGTATCAAGCACTCAGCAAATGTTAACTGCTGTTATTATTGTGATTGTGGTGATAGATCCAGGTGAATTTCCACCTTTCCTAAGAGGTTTTTTTTTTCTTTTCTTTTTTTAAAGGCTTTATTTATTTCAGAGAAAGAGGGAGGGAGAGAGAGTACAAGCAGGGGGAGATGCAGAGAGAGAGGGAGAAGCAGACCCCCCCCTCTGAGCAGGGAGCCTGATGTGGGGCTTGATCCCATTACCCTGAGATTGTGATCTCAGCGGGAGGCAGATACTTACCGACTGAGTCACCTAGACACCCCGTCTCAGAGATTTCTAATTTAGCTCTCTTTGACTTTTTTCTCTTGCAAACTTAAAACCTCTTTCTTAGCCTTTTGT